TTAAAAATGTCTTCTCGTGTTTTCAATAATTTGTGACGGGAAGAAAATTTTTTTCGTCAAAATATTTGAAAAAATGCTCGTTGAAACTCGTTTCTTCCTGCAGAGATTTTGATGCAAAAAAGAATGAGGAAGATTAAAAAGCATTATTTGAGGACTATTTAAAGACAGTGCAACACTTTGGTCCACTTCAACGTTGCAACGTTGCTTCCCTCAGATCGCTGGCACTGGCTGTAAATAGTTCTTTCAACTAGAATAACCGAAGTCGTGTAAAATAATAAAATGAAAAATATGTCGATTTGTTTGGAATTATTGATATTTTAATGGAAATATTTGAATTGACTTGAAAAAAATTTTAAAAACATTTAAAAATCTAAAATTAAGTTTATTTTGAAAATAAAGAGGCAAAGCACATGCATTTACTCGTATTTTTTTAAAAAATTCAGCTTTTAATTCGCAAATGCGATGAAATTGGAAATAAAATTGGAAATGAGAATGAAAAGTATATTTATATTTATACTTGGCGCAAGAACTAGATTTTATGTGCGCATTAAAACTACTAAAATGAATTTTAAAGGGAACCTTAAGCAATGTGTTTAATTAGAAAGGCCATAACAATTCTTCGAAGATGTTCAAAATACCAGTTTTAAACCAGCAAAATATACAATAAGGAGCACACGCTATTTCTGCTAAAATGACTGCTTTAACAGATCCTATAAAATCTTTTCAATCAATCTTCATTCAATCATATTCGGCTAAATGATGCAATACAATTGAAATTTTAGAATGCAAAATATTCGTTGAATTATTGAAGTGATCCAGGTTTGTACAAAATTCAACGAAATCCATCCAACTGTGGCGAATAAGGCAAATCGCAAATCTTTCTCTCGTAGTAATAAATTTTATGAACATTTCAGAAATAACTAAGCAGGTGGACCGAGCGCAACTTTTAACGACAGATGTGCTGCTACCGGGTTAGGAAATCAAACCTAACCTATAATGCACGGCATGAATCGAATCAACCAAAAATAATTTATTCAAAATTGAATATGAGACAGATATCATCTTCATATCACCTTTGTTGGCACGGTCCAATGAAAGCATTGCTCAGAATTAGCAATCACGTATGATTCGGCTCTTTCCTTGATCTTTAAAACTGTAAGATATAGAATAATCAAATGGCTTATTTGCTTGTCTCCAAGCGAAAATTTAAACCGTTTGCAGCCTCCAGAGCAATGCAAACCAGACATGACCAGCATCAACCACTCAAATAACGCCTGAATACATCCTTTTCAATAAAAGACCGACGTAGAACACGCTTAATAATGTGAATCCTACGCACAATTGAAGGTAAAGGTAATGCAAGCTCAGCGATAAACTATACTATGCTTCAAGACCATCTGACGAAGCAGGCCGAGACGATAGACGACGGTTTTGAAGAATCAACCACAAATTCCTTAAATCGCATATGGCATATTGCATAACGCACAATAACATTCATTCGATTTTCGATTTTTCACAAACAACTGTTCAGTTTTATTTTTAAACAAATAATCGTCATAATTATTTAATTTATGAATTAATTTGCAATAATACATCGTTATGATCACAAATTATTGTAATTTAATGGATTCATAAAATCCCGCAGCCATATATAAATGTGAAAGTTAATTATTAACGAAAAATGCGATAAAATGCTTTCCTCGTCAATAGTTGCACTGGATGATTTACAGAAAAATTTGTTAGAGAAGAAACCATCGAAACTTTTTAAATAATCTTTTTCAACATTGCTGGTTAGACTCGCTCCGTGCTTGCCGGACCAAACAAATATGCCTTGGCGATAATACGGACAAGTCGCCATTTCAGATAGATCACTCTCACCGCCAAATATACAAATATATATATATATATATATATATACATAAATTCAAGAAAGTCCAATCGCTTTTTATAATTTACATATGAATAAAATTCCAGATTTTAGTACAATTTTGGTTGGAAATTTTGATTTTGACTGTGGACTGACGGCAATAAAGAAGTCATCGAGACCACTGAATTATCTATTTCGATCATTCAAAAAATAAAAAACAAATCCTATTTTAAACTATACGAAATATTGATTCACCATTATATCTCTTAAAATACTTGGTCAAGACTTTGCGAAAACAAATTCAGTGAAAAACTGCAAAAACGCGCAGTTATAATGATAAACTGAAATTATGAAAATTAGAATCACTAAGAATTAAACAGGATGGATTAACACAAAATTAACACATAAATAAAGCCTATTTGGAGAACCAAGTTGAGAAGTCAGAGCTTATTCATTCATATTGTAACATAAGGATTTAGCCGGGTCGAAATAAAGCTTTTTTTTTTAAAAATAAATAAAAATAAAAATAAAGATATGGAATAATATTATATATTATATTTATATTTAATTATTATATATTATATTTATATTTTCCTTGAATTTATATTTGATTTAACCTGGTCTTGCAAAAACTCTGTTTTTGACTTAAAAAAATAGAAAACCATTCCGTCTTCATAAAGCAAGTATAACTCGAAGAACCATCAACAAAATGGTAAAGGATAACAATGGTGTGCCTGTTAAGAATATTAAGCATCGCCTCGTAAGATGGAATTCTTTGAGGCCAAACTTAACCATGAAGCGCCATCTACTGTTTAGGCGATGGCTCATTTGCTCGATATTTAACTATGCGATAGACTAGATAATGGACACCGTAAGAAGTGCGCAGATCAGTTCAGAACATAGTATCATAGAACTTGAATACGCTGAGGATGAAGTTTTTTTTGCTCATGGTTATGACGAAATACAAAATGTATCGACAACTTCAGCGAGAATCGCACTCAGAGTCGATGTAAATATGTAAATAAAACATGTCTGTTCGTTTTACCTAGAAGAAGCCGATAAAGTATCCATTTTTCATCAATTCTTTGCCGATTGAAGAAATGCCCGATTTGAAATAACTCGGATCCACTATAATCACAAATGGCCAAGAAAAAGGCAAAATTACTGCTCGGACAATGGCAACTCGATATGCTTTCATCCGGTTGATGTACTCGTCCCGAAACTACTATAAAAACAAAAGCCCGCGTCTACGTAGTCAATTCACTCTATCTTGCTCTATGCTGCGAGACGTGACCATTGAGAGTGGAGGATATTAAGAAGCCATATGCCTTTGACCACTCATATTCAAAATACATCTTACGGGTCCACCGAGCAGATAAAATTGCACATAATCGAATCGACTCCCGCTCATATACCACTTGCATTAATAGTACTATCATAGACCGTCGCCTTCGCTGGTTAGGACACTTTCTTGGTTGCCCAACACAGGAGTTGACGCATATTTTACCGAACCCTGTGATGGCTGGCGTCAAAAGCGAAAAAGAGCAATCAGAACCTGGACTAATACAGTGAGGAAAGATTTTGAACGTATAGGCGGACCAGCGATAAGCAGACTTAAATAATTAGAAAAAAGGCACGGCTCCTATTACTGCCTGCGATGGTGACGGACCGAATAGTTTGCAGATGTCTAGCCTTTATAGCCAGCGGAGCCAGCCTAAGCAGTAATGGTTAGAAGAAATAAGAAATAATTATGATATTAATTATGATATTAACAATAAATAACGATGAATAAAAACTGGACAATAAACAACAAATAATAACACAGCACGATTTAATACAAACCGATAATAATTATAACACAACTTAAAAAACAAAAAACAACTTCGTAAAACCTAACCTATAAAACCTAACAGACAAAACCTATAAAACCTAACAGACAAAAATCTTTCTTAGATGAAACAGTATTCTCGCATTCGAGAAAGAATTTTTAAAAACTAACACATTTCCAAAAATAATAAAGAAGAATGGCCGAACTGCTCATCCACGACAAAGAATGCAATCCTTTGATTGGCGCTAAATTATTAAACCAGTTTTTATCCTTCAACAATAAAACTAAAATGGAAATGTTAATTAAGCCGATCCAATCAGTTTAAAGCTGGATTACCATCGCCTATTCCTATAATAAACCAATAAAAGAATTAGGAAATGAAAATTTAATCAGTGGACCTGAAAACTTCTTTTAGATCATTTCTTAGATGAGAATTTATTGGTTATCTTCTGGGAGATAATCACATTTCGCAACGCACTGAGCATAGCTTAGAATTAATATTCATAGTTATTTGCAATCAGAAATTTTTTCCCGGCCATTCGGCGGTGAAGACTCAGATGGATGCTTTACCATTATTCCTATTTTTTATTTTATTCATAATCAAATTGCAATACATCAAAAAACTTCAAGAAAACTTTACAATTTAATTTAGCAAACTGAGAATTGAAAATTTTCGGACTGAGAATTAAAATCAAATGAATGAACCAATTAAGGAAAAAATGAACTTGTGGGATAACTTTTCGATGCATTCTTCATTAAAAATTATTAAAAATATATATATATATATTTTTATTACTTTAGAATTAAAGTTTTTCTGATATTAGACTGACAAAACCAACAAATCGAAGCCATCATAGAATTTTTTCATAATGTTTGTTTAGTTAGAATAAAAGTGCTCCAAGCATCAGAGTTAAAAAGCTCGTATTATATGTTCTACACATAAGTTCAGCTTTAACTTATCATCATCTGCTCTTTTTGTGGAGCAAACGACACATTTAACTTTTCTATCAAGAATGCCTCATCATTGCGCCACGAGTACACCATTCGCCATCGATTGATTACTAAATACATCTCAATTCCTTGATAAGCGTCAAATCAATCATTTCACGAGAATTTTTATTTTTAGAACTTAAAGCAAAACGTAAAAACTCTCAAAATATAAGTAATGAATATATATTAAACGATCGAACTATATTTAGCCTAAGGCAACATATGCAGAAATACTATATATGAAATGCATTTCTTTTGCGTAATAAATCCAAATAAGAATGGGAATTATTCCATGCTAAAAAGAATGGAACAACATTATAATCGCAACCCTAAAAGATCTTTAAGCTCAGCCATATTTTGCAATGCAACTTTTTGCGCCCTTTGTCGACCATATTCGAGAATTTCACAAAGATGATCACTATCGTGTGACATTAGTGCTTCATATTTTTCACGAATAGGAGCAAAATGATGATCAATAGCCTTTGCTAATTTTTCCTTGAATCCTTTTGTATCCAATTCACTACATTCATTAATTATATCCTGTTGCGATTGTTTAGTAAGAGCTGAATATAAGTTAATCAATGAACTAATTGCAGGTCGATTCTCAGGATCATAAGTTATGTTTGACTGCATGTCAGATAAGGCTTTTTGACAACGCTCCAAGATGATTTTAGACGAGTCACTGATATCAAGACGTGATCGAGTATCGAAATCTGATTTGCTCATTTTTTTCGTCGGATCTCGAAGGCTTCTGATTCGAGGGAAATCTGGTACCACCTAAAATTTTAAAGAACACTTGTGAAAATGCGAAAATATCAACAATTATTATTTAATAATTTTATTTTAAAAATTCATAGTTGAGTTCAAACATATTTCCTTTACTGAGAGTAAGCAGGCTGGTTTCATTTCCTTCGACAGTAAACCTTTAATTAAAAGTGATATCCGCGAAACTGCAACTGACAACATGTCAACTGACGTATTTCTACATGCACCACGAATTCTCTGACGAGTTATTCGAAACCATTTAAATCTTTCATTCATCTTCATTCTAGTAAATATTGGAGCCAACCAATTCAGGAAACGATAAGTATTAACATTCATAAACTCCAATAATGAAAATGAATTGCAGTGACTTCTGAAGTAAAATTTATCGCCTTCAACAATTTTAGTTTTAAGACTCACATTAATTATCAACTGAATCAATTGACCTGTAAAGCAACAGCATAGAAGAATGAAAAAAGCTAACTTGGTTAGGTATAGGGAAAAAATTGGTTTGAACGGCTGCATTAAAATTTTTCGCGATATCTCTAGTGAGTTCTAAATGTTGTATTTGATCTTGTCCAACAGGTACATCTGTTGCTTTATATAACAATATATCTGCAGCCTGTAACAGTGGATAAATCTGCAGACCAGTTGGAACATCCCCCATTTTAAACCTAAAAATTAAACTTCTGGACATGAATCTCTGAATATTTATTTATCGATGCAGTATTGCTTCGGAACATACTTTCTGGATTTATCTTTATATTGTGATAATTTCTGCAACCTTGCAACCGTTGCGATTGAACCAAAGATAAACATTAAATTAGTATGTTCAGAAACTGCACTTTGTTGAAATAAAATTGAACGTTCCGGATCCACACCACATGCAATAAGTGCAGCTGCCATTTTCATTATATTGGATCGTAACTAAATATACAACTGAAACTAAAAATTCCAATAGCAAAGGAACAATTAAACACAATTAAATATAAAATGAAAGAACACAAAAGATTTTCATTTCAATATAGTAAATCATAGAAAAAAGTATCGTTGTACTAAATCGGAACCCTCAAACACTCAAAATCAATCAAATAAGAATAATATTTATTAGTGAATTAAGTTTAAATTTAGATAAAATATGTAGAATTAGATTGTGCTAGATTCTTGCGTGAAAAAATTTAAAATTAGTTAATTTTTAAATTTTAAATTTTAGCCAATTTCACAATTCCAAGCAAATCCACCTTACTTTTTCTCGGGGCAAAAAACCAGTGGAAACTGCATGGTAATCAACAATTGACAAAAAGAGCTCATTAGCTGGAGGCTGACTCTGGAAAAAAAGCAGAGTTAATCTTTCATTCCTTAAATTATTTCAATACTTTACCAGAACAAGAAAGAATTACATTTTGTATATTAATCCAAGGTTCGACTAGACCAAAATAATTACCAAGATGCAAGACACCAGTTGGTTGAATTCCCGAGAAATACACAACCGGAAATTTGGCAGTATTAAATGAGCCAAATTTCCTAAATTTCTGTTCCAGCGATTTTTTGCAATAGTAATTTCCGAACATCAGGAAGCGCAGGAAAATTTTTGGATTCATCTATAGAATATATAAAAAGATTTTTTACTGACAGAAGAAAACGATTTATTAACGAACTAAAAGCGCTCTTTATATACAAACTTTGAATTCACTTTATATTCATTTGCCATCGAAAAGAGAAGCAATAATAACAAGAAATGAATATCTAAATCCATTATTTACATAAAAAACTATTAATAATGAACTGATTATTAGCATTATGAATAATTAATATAAGCACAAGTATCTACTGTTAAAAAATTAGAATAACCTTTCTAATCTTCTCCTTTACAAATTTAATATAGGGACAATGCGATTCAAGATTATAGCAGATCGACAATGTGGGCATTTAGGATATTCCTGTTCCAAATTTCTAGCTGCTTTTCCAACAGCAAAAATGCAATCCCAACACAGCAAATGTCCACAAGGTGTACAGATAGGAAATTGGCAATTCAAACAAATTGAACAAATAAAAGTGGAGTAAAACTGAAAAAAATTGGATAAAATGGATAGAAAAATTATCGATAACAAAGAGCTTTGAATCTTTTCACCAAAATTAATTAAAACCAAAAAAAAACAGGAATTAAGAATAAAATAATATATATTTTTCATAGCATACATTTTTTTCAGATGAATCTTTGATGTCCACAGAAGAAAAGTAATTTTTTAACAATGATTTTTCCTCTTTGCAACGTGAAAACAATTTATAAAGCCAAACGGCAGTGAGAATAATATTTTTACTTAATATGAAATATCCATGTATCTTTGCAATTCGCAATAACTACAATTCAAACAAATTTTTCTTGAAAAATTTCCAGTTTTAAAGACGATTTACCAACTGAGGCATTGTAAAATACTAGTCAATTTAAAATTTCTCTGACTAAATTAATATAAATTTCTTTAAAAAAAGTGAACAAGGCATAAAAAATATTAAGCCGCAAGAATTATAAAAAAAAAAAAAACTAAATAACTAAGAATAATAACTATGAACAAAATAACAAACAAACTTGAATATTAGTTTGTGGTCTTAAACTTAAATATCTTATGCCGGTCAAACGATTTGATAGACTGCGAAATATACCTCCAGTATAAAAAATTGCCAAATGTGTGTGGTACAGCAAAGGTATTCCAATCGATCTTAAAATATTTAAAATAAGGGAAAAATAGATTAAAAATGAAAAAAACTAAGTAATTTACAGAAAACCTCTTTTTTTCGAATAAATATGACAACCAATAAATAAAAACTTTAAAATGTAAATATCGAGCCTGATCCAGGAAAATATTTTCTTAACTGCTTCACGACTTTCGCAACTACGTATAAAATTCGATCCAAAAAAAGTATTGGCCGATAAATTGTTTAATGAGTCTTCAATCAAATAAAGTTCTTTTTCCACAAAAAAAGGAAAAAGGAAATGAAAAATGAAAAAAACGATACGACGAAACGCGGAAGGTCTTCTATTAGGACCTTTAGTGAATTGTAAAAGATAACTAAGTTCTTCTCCAAGAGTTTGAATGCCTAAAAATAATAAGTTCAAAATAAAAATGGTTGGTCCATATTTTCTTCCCTCAAAATCTTATTAAATAATTAATATAAATTAATATAAATCATTGTTAAAAGATAAATTAATATAAATTATAGATATAAATCTTAAATCTTAATTAATCTTAATTAATATAAATCTTTACTTGATAGTACAAAAGAGAATTATACAAAAAATGATAAAATGACAATAATTTCTTGGCTCTTTTTATAATTTTTATCTTCCATTGAAGGATATAAAATAATTATAAATAATTAGCATGAAACGAAGTAAGAAAAACCTGATAATGTTGTTAGACCATAATATAATCCTTTAGTAATCAATGGAAAAAGACGATGATATCGAATCCAAAACTGAGGACCAAATAAATCCTAAAATCGCTTATAATTATTTGAAAATATTATAAATGAAAATAATAATATTTCTTATTCGCAACTAATACAACCAAATATAAGCAATATATAAGCAATCTTTTATGAGCATTTACGAGCATATTTGTTTCATATTTGAATAAGATTCATATTTGAATAAGATTAATTCATATTTGAATAAGATTAAAAAATGAAGAATAAATAAGATTAATATGATAGATTCGATTTCTACTTCTTAAAAAGTATAAAATCCTTCATTAGAAGAGAAATAAAAGTATTACTTTGGTGCTACCTTGTATTTTAGAAATGCAGAAAATAAAGAAATAGAAATAATGATCATAAGGAAAAGAAAACAAACAACAAACTTTAGCAATGGAAGAAAACTCTTCTCGCAAATAGTTCAACTGTTTTTCGTCCCTTCTTTCAGCTCGAATTATTTCTCCTAATTCCGCTTCATAAATTGGCATATAATAAACTGTAATTATCAACAATTCTTAAACAGAAAATTCAAGGGAAATGAATTTTGTCTGAAAAGTATTTGGTTGAAATACTGTGAAATAAATAATGAGTAATGAAGTTTTTTTAAAAAACTTTATAGAAAACCATATCTTAAATCAACGACAATAAACGAGAAAATTTTCCAAGCATACAATATACGCGAATAACCGAATTAAAAAAAACCTTACATAAAAACTAAAATTTAAAATCATTTCCATGAATATTATAAAATAAATTGAGAAAACAAGGAAATGAAGGACGTGACGTTTCGAAAATCAAAAAGCAATTATCTGTAAGCTTTAGAAAGCACAAATAATAACATACTAATCCGACTTTCAGCTCTTTTTTTCTTACCAAAGACCGAAATGATCGATAGACTTGAATCATTTCATAAAATAACTTCTAAATTGTGAAGTCTTTAAGGAAAAACTAAAAAATTTTTAAATTCTGATGAGAAATAACGAGTGAAATTCGTAAAAAAAGAAAAGAATGATAAAATGTGACCGAATCCCTTTACTTTTATGTTAAAACAATATCACCATTAATGACGATAATCATGAAAAATTAGAAACATAAAAAATTTAAAAATGAGCTTAATTAAAGTAATAAATAGTTTTAAAGTCGCATATAAAAACTTGTTCCATTTTCATTCTGCACTGGAGTTCGGAGAGTTTCACTTTTATTTGGATCCTAAATAAACCTATTAAAAAACTATCTTGAATATAAGATGAAAATAAGCGATAAAAATTTATAGGTACAGACTTACAAAATATTCAGCGAACCACTCATACCAGACACCACCGTCATCTACCTTACGTTCCATATGAAATGTGATCTGCAATATTATTAAAGTCTCATAATTCAGTAATGACGGAGACTGAGAAAAAAAGATCTGCGAAATTCAGCACTAAAAAAGTATGAAATATCTTTGATGGACAATCGAGAAACAGGCACCATAAATTTATAACTTTCCCTGTTATGCTCATGAAAAAAATTCTCCAAAATCCAAAAAATAACCTCGGATCCTTCTTCCAAACGAATGAATTGTCTTAACGGAATCAAAGCAGGGAACCAACTAATTAAAAAATCTGTTTGCGTTTGTGGCACAGTACTAATCCAACAACCATCGTACAACTGAGCCTCAAAATAGCCAATAAAGCCCATCAACTAAAAATTGTACTATGAGAAATTCTATTATTAAACAATTTGCCATAAATATTGTATATCATTACAAAGAATAAAGCCAGGTAAGTGAAGGTTAGCCTTCTGGTTAGCCTTCCTCAGCTGGCTTGTCATACCAGATAAATTTTGCCAGGTAATAAAAGTGATAATACAGTACCAGCAACTCTGGTTCTTGAAAAACAGGGTAAAACAGGGTTCGCCAAGAGTAGAAACCTAGCACTGGCGTTCATAATTATAAATATGGATATCCAAAAATAATATAGCAAATACTGGAAAATCATATCTCAGATAGCCGATCGATTTTAAAAATGATGCTACTACAACGAGTATTTGATTTTTTCTCAAAATTTGGATGAGTAAAACTGAACAAAGGTTCTGGATCAGCCAAACGACACATTGAGCGTAGAAAAACTACATATATTTCATCAAAGGCGACCACACCGGCACGCCTGAAATATTTTGGAAAAAAATATTCAGAAATCAAAAACCTGAAAAAAATTTTAATGGAAATTCTTCCTATATAACAGCCAAACCAGTCACCTACAAAACTGACGCATAGGAAATTTGGAAAAGAAGAATAACAAAGGAATTTAAAAATAAATGACAAAATTTTAACTTATATTTCATAAATTTTTCGAATATCTTAGCTTCAAAAGAATTTAAAAAGGATGATTAATAAATACTAACGACAATTCATATGTTCCATCAGGTTGCAATTCTGGAAAAGAGCGTCCTCGACTCCAAAATCCTTTATCATAGAACTTTGTTCCAAAGCCCATCATAATTTTTTGATGCATCCGAACTGACTGGATTGGAGCTAAAGAAGACTTTTAGAAGCACCGTATAACTTTTTGTAACAATATTGATCAACTTGCAATAACTGATACTATGTGGGTCATTTAGCATTCTTTTACATATTAATTTAATTTAAGGGAATTTTCGAATTAGAGGATGATAAATTTCAAAAAACCAGTGAGTGAAAAGGACTGAACTTACCTACGTAACTCTGGTAAAATTTAGGAATACTTATTGTAGTATCATGTAAAATATCTGTAACTCCATCCAAACATTCAGGAGACAATTCATTATCAGCAAGTGAACCAAGTAATTCAGATACTATAAGATCAGGTTGGGGAATAGTTTTTAAGCGAACCAAATCGACCAAATTGCGCATATCTGATTCAAGCACTGTTACTCGTTCACCCCATCTAAAAAAATATTTAAAATTGTGTGCCTAACTGTACCATCACGCTTCTTCCTTCTGATCTTGACGAAATCATGAAAAACTATTATGTAATTCTTATCTGGTACCTATAGTTACCGTAAATTAGGAAGAGTTGCCATTTTTTCTACAATATCTTTCATTCTGAAACATAAGTAAACATATCAAAAAAAATAAAACTTTACTGCACATTGTTACGATATTTTAAAGTAACAATAGCACTGCTGTTCTTTTCAATTGCAAACAGTTGTAATTTAAGAGAATCACGCCGACAACGGTGTTTGGCATTATACAAATCCTCAGCTTCGATGATCATTTGCATCTTTAATTTTATTTTTTAGATGATGTTAAAAAAGAATCCGTATAAAAATATACAAACTCATACAAACAAGTATTTTATATCTACAACTAGTTTTATATTTAGTTTATCGAAAAAAAATTAGGAAAGAGAAAATTTTCCATTGCGAAATCAAAAATTTCTGGAATCTGATAACTTTTATAAAGATCATGAACAATTTATAGTATTTTTATAAAAATACTAACTAATGGTCCTCTACCAGCGCCCAACAAGAAAATAATTATATCTCGAGAATCTTTGACTAATTCTACAAGATCTGATATCGCAAGGCCAATCGCTTCACGATATTTGTTGTATTTTATCGTATCTTCTTCAAATACGGAATAAGTCGTAGCATCAAGATTATCGGCTAATGGTTGCAAAGGCACCTAAGAATATTATTTGAAAAGGTTTAAATTCTAAAATATTAATATTAATGAAAATATTATTTATATTATTTTCTTTTTCAGTCCATTAAGGATTTGTTCTTTTTAATGATAAACATAACGATATAAAAATTAACCTGCAATGTATCTAAATATTCACGATGACCCATATATTCAAAAAGCGCATTATCATTACCGACAGCTATTTGCTGTGATCGGAAAATTTTTTCTTGTATAATTTTCTTGACTGTTTTCACGAAACGAGATTTCATTGCTGGATATACATCATTTTTTGTACCAGCGCTGATCATTGGTCGTTGAGCTAAAGCTGTGAATAGTTCCAAAAAAAGTTGATGATGACATCTGAAAATCGATTCTTCAAAGAACATATAATATAACACAGTCAAATGTCGCTTAGTTTTATTTTATAAAGTTTCTTTCACCCAAATTTTTTTGCCAGTGAAATCTTTTTCATAAACTCCTATTGATTAGAAAACCACAAATTTTAAATTTTATAATATTAACTAACTGTGGTAAAGCATATTCACCGGCTCGAAGACCAGCAATAAATACAGATGAGTCGATCCAAATGGTCACAAGCTATAATTATACACATAAAAAAAGACTGAACAGGTCATAAAACTTATGCTTTATGATTGAAAAACAAAGCAATTACTGGTTCAGCTTTCCACCTTTCGACTAATTTTGGTTCTAAAAATTCGTTGGCCAAATCTGCACCCATTTTTAAACCAACAGCTAGTTTAGACATTAGATAATTGCCACATAATGTTCGAAAATCAGCCCAAATCGACCAGACATCTCGACGATCGTTTTCATCAAACTTGGCAAGTAGAGTATCGTCAATTGGGATTATCACCCAAATGCTAAAATTTCATCATTATTTATAGCTTTTAATTTTCCAAAATTGAAAGTAATTATGCCTTAATTCACTTATATAACTGCATATAACACAACAGCCCGAACTGTGTTTGATTAATCAATTTATAAAAAAAAAATAAGAAAGACCAAACCTAAAACAAACCAAAAAGTTATGTTGAATGTCCATAACCATTTATTAATGATTTTCGCTAGTTTAGGTGAATCTGGATGTTTTATATTAATCGTAATTACTCGAATTGGCATATACATTGCATAACTCAATTCCTGCAAAAAATTAGGGATATATAAATAAAAATAAAGACAAAGCAGTAAAAACAAAGGAAGATAAATTAAATTCAAAATTAGACTTGTATAGTTCAAATTGCAATAGATATATGATTATTGCTAGTATATAATATAATCAAACAATTACCAATGAACAAATTCATAGCAATGACAATCACAATGAAAATTTATCCTTAGTTTATTTTAAAACCAAATCGAGGTAAACTCCACTATCCAACAAAAATTTTAACCAACTTTTTCGATCTCACGACAAGATAAATCAGCCAACCACTGCTGATCAGAATCACAATCAATCCAGTCTGATATACGACCAATAAAATAAAGATTCCACAATGAATGATCGAGTTGTAAATCGGGCAAATCAATAGGTGGCGGTAATACATCCCTGTGTTTTAATGATTTTTAAGGGTTAAATCTCGTCAACAACTAAAAAATTTCCATGGATCAACGAAAACACGTGAAATTTCAATTAAGGAACTAAACAGAACTACTCAATACATAAAAATTCTGAGTTCGAAAATATCAATTAAAAAATACAAAGCATCTAACTCATTCGGCGCCCAACTGCAACGTTTCATTCCACCAACCGGATAATTCACAAAATTATAACCAAGTTTTCCCAGCACCGAACAATAACTTGCGATTTGATGATCTTTTTCGCCTTCATTGATACCAGCAACCCAACCAACAATTTCAGATGAATCCGATTGTTGACTGTTGTACCCATCCTGATTCATTACCTACAAAATGTCATTGTAGCAAAAAAATTGACGCAACAACCTCCAGAATTAAAACCAAAAATATCAACAAAAAATTCCAAATTTCCTTTTCATGTATTAAGCATCTCTTGATCCACAAAAAATTTCCATAAAATCTCAAATTTCAAATATAGCCCATTTTACCAATTAAAATAATTAAAATAATCTCCGATTTAAAAGTCATCGACAAGTAATAAAATGATTGGATGATAATTTATATCAATATTTATTGACTTATAAGACAAAGAAGCCTTAATGCCTGCATTTAACAAATGTTTTTTTAATGAGCAATAAAATTGTGATTGGCATCCGTAAAAATAACATATAAATAATATAGTATCAATCGTACAACAAAATCAACCTTCACGAAAAAAAAATTGTTTGATGAAATTCTAAAATTAGACTGAATATATATTTTCTAATATTTCTAATATTTTCTGTTTTCTTGCATCACAATAATATACTAAATAATATAATTAGTAGAAATCGACTACGCGTTTTGCTTCGCCAGTTCTTCAGCCTTAGCCCTAACATCATCAATGCCTCCTTGCATATAAAATGCTACTTCTGGGAGATGATCCAATTCTCCTAAAATTTTTTCAAATTTTACAAAGTTTCTTATAAAGTAAATGTAGCAATTGACAATTCGCATCATTAAATTACCTTTCAAAATAAGTTCAAATCCACGAATCGTTTCTTCTAAGGTTACGAATTTTCCTTGATGACCAGTGAATACTTCTGCGACTTGGAATGGTTGTGAAAGGAATCTTTGAATTTTTCGAGCACGAGAAACGATCAATTTATCTTCTTCTGATAATTCATCCATACCCAAAATAGCTATGATATCTTGTAAAGACTTGTAATCCTGCAAAAATAAATACAAAAACGCAAAAACACGAAAAGAATGTGCAAATAAAGTGCTAAATAATAAAATCGGCTGCGACCATATTTTTCAATTAAAACCTGCCACATGAACATCTCGATACTATTAAATTCCCATACTTGTAAGATTTTTTGCACCCCACGGGCAATATCATAATGCTTTTGGCCGACAATATTTGGATCCATAATTCGCGAAGTAGAATCGAGAGGATCTACAGCGGGATATATAGCTAATTCAGCGATACCACGAGATAAAACGGTTGTAGCATCCAAGTGGGCGAAAGTTGTTGCAGGTGCCGGATCTGTTAGATCGTCAGCGGGTACATAAATTGCTTGTACTGATGTGATTGACCCCTAAATTCCATCTGTGGAAATGAAAGCAAAGAACACAGTGCGAATAAAGTTTTTTTCAGTAACAATATAATTTACTTTTTTAGTTGTAGTAATGCGTTCTTGCATACCACCCATATCAGTCGCCAAAGTTGGTTGATAACCTACAGCTGAAGGAATACGTCCTAACAACGCAGATACTTCTGAACCAGCTTGAGTGAATCGGAAAATGTTGTCAATGAAAAGGAGTACATCTTGACCTTCTTTATCGCGGAAGTATTCCGCCACAGTTAACCCAGTAAGGCAAACACGAGCTCGTGCGCCCGGTGGTTCATTCATTTGACCATAAACCAGTGATACCTAAATGCGAGAGTAACTGCCTAAACTTCTATAAACATGCGAAAATTATGAAGCAAAAATATTTAATTTTTAATAATAAACTATTTAATTTTCTTTAATGAAAACTATTGAACCTTTGAATTTTTTCCTTTGAGATCAATAACGCCACCTTCAATCATTTCGTGGTAAAGATCGTTACCTTCACGAGTTCTTTCGCCTACCCCCGCAAATACAGAATAACCTCCATGTGCTTTGGCTACATTATTAATTAGTTCCATAATAAGTACAGTTTTTCCCACACCAGCACCACCGAAAAGACCTAAAAATATAATAATACCATGCAATTCTTCATCATAGAACTAATGGAAGACAAAAAACTGGAGAAAAATAAATATATCATGGACAAATGAATCGTGACTATGTTTGTTTATTTTTAGGAAGAAAACGAAAAAAAAAATCGTGCTCCTAAACCAAACTATAATACTCTAGGCTCACTTTTGACTCAATGTTCTAGAGATCGAACAGCGAGCTTCGAAGCAGCCTATGCTTTTATACAAATTTATTTCAGATAAAAGAGAGAAAAAAATTATGACTAACTGAAAAATTATGTCGAAATTCACAAAAATAGCAGCAAATAAAATACGTCAAAAAAACAAGCATCTGAAACTACCAATTTTTCCTCCTTTCGCGTATGGCGCAAGAAGATCAACGACTTTAATACCAGTTACTAGAATTTCTTGTTCAACGCTCATATCAACAAAAGCTGGGGCTTCAGCATGAATTGGAGCGTAATGCCTTGCAGGTATGGGACCACGTTCATCGATTGGTTCACCAATCACATTCATGATACGTCCAAGAGTTTCTGGACCAACAGGAATTTTAATTGGATCACCTGTGTCAATAACAACATCACCACGGATTAATCCTTCTGTTCCGTCCATAGCAATCGTTCGAACAACATTATCTCCTGCAATAGAAAATATTTTCCTTAAAGCGATAACGTATGCGAATTTAAACTAATCGCCAGATTACTGAAACAAATCTGAAATAAAAGAAAAAAGGAAAAAAAAACTTTGGCCAGTAAAGATACCTATTGAATTGGTAGAATTAAATATTAAATTAGAAATTATATAGATAAAACTAATTAAAAACTCTTAAAATAGAAAGATAAAAAAATAAAAAAATAAAATAAGATAAAAATAAAAACCAAGATGTTGTGAAACTTCCAGAATTAAGCGTGGAATTCGGCCAGCAACCTCAAGTCCATTCAAAATTGGCGGCAAGCCTTCATCAAATTGAACATCAACAACAGCACCAATTACAGCTACGATTCGTCCTCTACCCTTTGTTGCTACAGGTTTATCAGCAACCTTAAAATTAAAACCTTAAAACCTTAAAATGTTCAAATGAATATGATCTAAAAACCCTATAAAATTTATAAATTATACTACAAAAAACTTAAGTAGTCGTATTTACTTTAGTAGCCTTATCAGCAGCGGGCACTGGAGCAGCCAAATTTGTAGATACTGTTGTGTGAAGTTCATTCTTTGAATATTTCGTACTACTTTGACGAACTAAAATTTTGTAAATTTTATCAATACAAAATGGCATAAAATTACTGAATAATAAAGATATTATTACCAAAAATAGTTGCAGTTGGTCCCAACTTCCGACTGAAAAAATGGGAATTATTCAATAATTTTGGCAGCACGCGACTGATGTTTGTTATAAAACGAAACACCATTACTGCCTGCAAATAAAACAATCATTATTATTACTAAATCAGACGAACAATCGAATAAAAAAGGTGAAATGGAAATTAATCAATAAAATGACGATAATAATACTAATAATAAGCCAGTAAAAGAAAGAAAAGAAGTTAAATAATCATAATCACTATTCATCCTTTCTGGCTTTAGGGATAGCTGGGATGACACTTATAAATCTTAGAGGTACTTTTCGGTTATTTGGGTAGCAACACCGGCGACGCACACACTTGCATACCCCTTCCCCCCCCCCCCCCCCCCCCCCCCCCCCCCCCCCCCCCCCCCCCCCCCCCCCCCCCCCCTTCACTTCTTTGCCCATATCCCACCTCCCCTATCCAAACAATTGAAAATTGCTGAACCAACACATTCACCACGAAAATTATTAAAAATGCCAGCATAATTTTTTTGTGCTTCCCTAGTTTTCGTATTGAGACCTTCAGGATTTTTATGGCGTTTGAATTAATCAAATTTAACAGCTATAAAGTTATGTGAACGTAGCCACAAATCGTTTTGCGAGGTTGGATGTGGTTCGTGATTCGTCGCAAATTATTGAACGCGGAATTAGTGGGAATGGAAAAATGGGAAGTAAGAAAATAAAGTGTTGTTCAGTGCTATTCAAAACCATCCAAGAAAGTGCGAGAAAAAATTTTATTTCATAATTTTTGAATCTTCTTTTATTCGATTAAATTTTCGCTGATCAACCGCGTTGGTTGAATTTCCCTATTCATGCGAATTTTTCGCTCGCGTAAATTGGACTCTTTCACATAAATTTAAATTTGTCGACATATATTTTCAGATCAAAAATTTAGTGAAATTATTCAAAGAATGCACAGAAACAGGTCGAATTTCACGCCGGCGAGACGAACTCACTTCGCTAGTAATTATCAAAATAGGAGGCGACGGCGAGCCAATCGGCGAGGTTCGTCTTTTAAATTCTCTAGTTTTGCGCGGAATTTCCCACCCGAAGCACTCATTTGATGAGCGTCGAACTTCAAATATTTTAAGGGTTTATTAACAATGGGTCGTTTTATTTATATTACTTATCATCTACATGTTATGCCTGTTTGGTATTTATTGAGAAGCAATTTATAAGATCATTGAACATGTCCGAATTGTTGTGGGCCGAGGAGCAGAGGACGGCGGAAACGGCGATAACCGTTGATCGTGCGAGCTACTCTATGAAAAGTTTATACGAAAAATCATCATGCAAGAAGTTTAAGTCGTAGTTTATTGTTTATAACCAAGATCATTCCAGCTCCACAAAACAATATTAACAGTCGATCAGCACCTCGTGACTACGATCGTCCATTTCGCGTCTTCAATGATCCTTATTTGACGCGGCAGTTTACGACTTTGTCTATAAATCCACTCGATTCGAATTTGGGTATCAGATTTTTTTCATTTCCAGCAATTCTTTGTTTAATTTGGTTATTCTAATTTAATTAATAGCCTAAAAAATTTTGAAAATATTTGTTGGTTTGTAGATGGCGCCGAAAGAAGTCGTATTTTTGTATTTTTGCTTTTTCTTTTTCGTCCACCTCTATTTTCTCACCTTTGTGACCCAACAACGTAAAGTCATGTTTTTCCCATCATTTTATCCCATTATTATCATTTTCGCTACTATAACCAATATAAACTTAGAAAGGCTTAAAGAAATTTCATGATATAATTAGTAAAAAAATAACGCTGTGCCTATTTAATTTTTGTCAAAAGTTATTTACGAAACTGAAGAAATATCTGATATTGGAAATCTGATTCCAATATTTTTAGATATTTATTTTCCAAATTTTAGGAATTATGAGCACTGATAATTTTCAACGACGTGATATATTCGAGATCGGAGTTAGGGATCCGAGCGATATAATTTTATCTGGTAATCAGAGGTCACTCTATGAGATTTTCATTATTTATTAAATTCCTATAAAATTAATTTCTAAATTCTTGCTAAAATAAAAAGCTATATTTTATTCATTTTATTCTCATCAATTTTTCATTTTTTAAATTCATTTTTCGAAATAGATCACATAATTTATGTAATATTTATAATGAGTTTTTTGCTAGTGAGATTTTAATTGAGAATTTTTTTTATTATTCTTTAATCTCTTTATTGTCCTTATTATTTTATTTGTTGTTTTTTTCTAGATTTTATAGTTTTTAGAATATTTTAGTAATATTTTCTTTATTTCAGTTATTAATAATTTTATTTTATTTTAGTTTTCAACCTCATTCTACCAGTAATCAATGGCATAAAAAAGGATATCGAAGAATATATAGAAATATGAGTGAGGAATCCTTTTAGTATATATATATTAATATATATAATATATATTTATATATATTAAAATTTTTATATATATATATTAAAATATATTAAAATATATAAAAATATAACATATAATATATAGTATATATAATATATATTAAAATTTTTTATTAATTTATAAATTTATTTTTTTTTAATTCTCTTTTTTTCGATAAATAAATTCATTCCTCATATCATATCATTTTAATAAGGTCATTTTCAATTCTAGATCGTCTATCAGATGGAACAGATTATGTTCCATCCTTCAGTTATGGAAATAATAGAAATGATAATAGTGGTTCAAGTCAAAGTTTTAATTATTTGGCCAGTGGTAAAGCTTTGATTTAATGTTTTTTTAATGTTTCACTTATTAGAATTTATTAAACATTCAATTTCACTAGAGAGATTTGTCGAAAGATATGAGTTATATTCATATATAATTTTTTTTTGTAAAAATTGTAAAATCTGATTTTGATTCGTAAAAAAACTAAAAGTTTTAACCTGTACAAAAGGATATTATACAAAAGGAACGAACTAAGAGTAAACTTTGGGTTTCTTCGTAATTCATAATTTAGAAATGAATAGAATTATTATTTCATATTATTATTATTATAATGAATAGAATTATTGTTTTTATCAGTGTTAAATATTTTCAGCAACCCACATCATGAACAGACCTTTTACTAGACCTTTCAATCCGAATGCAACGCCTTTCATGCCTTCAAGTCAATTGAAATTTATTTCTAACAACGATGATTCCGCTCAAAATTTGCGAGGTAACCAATTTTTTTAACTTATAGTTTGTTTTTCACATATCTGAATTTTTTACCTCACAAGTGTTTATATAACTTTGATAGAGAAAAGTGTGGCTAAGATTTTTACAAGTTTTACAGTTGAAACTTTTATTTTTATTCTTTATATATTTTTTCCTATTTTTATTCTTTATATATTTTTTCTTATTTGTTTTCATTCTAAAATTTTAATAATTTAGATCGCTTAAAAAAACAACTTGAGGATGAACAGTATGAATGTATGATTTGTTGTCAAACAATTAAAGCGAATCAGGTGTACCATTTTTTTTTTTTAAACGTCATTCATTCATTTCTATGGATAATGTTCATTCATTATTTCTAGTGGATCTGGACTTGTCAAAAATGTTTTCATATGTTCCATTTTAATCAGCTGCAGAATAAAGGTTGTATTAATCAGTGGGCTACGAAAAGCTTCGAATGTGATACTGGCTGGCGCTGTCCAGGATGTCAAAATATATCATTTGGACTTCCAAAATGTTATAGATGTTTTTGTGGTAAGAAGCGTAATCCACCTACACAATGGTAATTAATTGGTTTTTATTTTTTCGCTTTTATATATGCTTTTAATTTATACCGATTAGTTGACTTCGCATTCGACTATGATATTATTCAGTTTTCCCGAAATGCCACATTCATGTAATTCTATTTGTGGAAAAAGTAGAACAGTTGGTTGCCCTCATCCATGCTCTGAAATATGTCACCCGGGTCCATGTCCTGAGTGTCCAATTATGTCTATGCGCAGTTGCAATTGTGGCGCTGAAACTAAAGCATTACGTTGTGGAATTCTGTCTGAATTTAAGGTCTCATTATTTTTTACAATTTTCTCTGCATTTATTTATCTAAAAGCCGTTCATTAATTTTTATTATATTTACATATTTATTATATTTATATAGGAAATAGATTTGATTTTATATGCTTTTTTAATCCTTTTTTTTTCTTTTGAATCTTTTTACTTCTTCATTTTAGTGTTCAAAGATTTGTTCGAAAATGTTAAACTGCGGATTACATAGTTGCAAATCTATTTGTCATCCTGGTGATTGCCGTACATGCGAACATATAATTGTACAATGTAATTCATCATTCTTTTATAACTTAAAGTATTTTCGTTTGTTAGATTGATAGATTGTTAGATTATTGAATACTGGCTATTTTTTGAACAATGATTCCAGTTTGTCATTGTGGATCAGAAAAAAGGTCAGTTTCATGTGGGCATTCAGATAAGGCGATAAGTTCATATAGTTGTGGCTCTGCTTGCAAAGGATTTTATGACTGTGGTATCCATCGATGTGAACAAAAGTATATTCTTGCATTTTGTAACATATGCATTTATTATCTTTATTAAAAGTTTGTTGCTAAGTTCTGAAAAGTTTTTAGGTGTCACGCTAAAAGTTCGAATGAAAGTTGTGGCTCTTGCATTTTATCTGTTGAAAAAATAAAGTATTGTCCTTGTGGTCGTACATTGATTTCTTCGTTAACTACGAATATGCGTGAGAAATGCACTGATGCAATACCTACTTGCGGTCAAATATGCGATAAATTATTAAACTGTGGGCCTAAAGGTTTTTTGTTTTTTCCTATAAACCATTGGTTTATTTAAAGGCCTTTTTTCAAGTTAATCCATTTTTTACTATTTTGAGTAAATTTTAACCTTATAATTTTTTTTCAAGAAAGACAACATCGCTGTAAAGAACTGTGCCATATGGGTTCATGCCCGCCTTGCCAAAATACAACGTTCATGGAATGTAGATGTAAAGCGATCAAGAAAGCAATCCCCTGCAAAGAAGTGATTCTTTATTCAGGTGCAGCTACTGTTTCAAATATTACTATGTATAAGTATAGATAGATTGCTTATTTCACATTCTGTAAAACTTTTGTAGATTTTTTTCTGCACACGTTAAAGTGACGTTTATAGAATCCAACCCATTTTTGTGCGAGCGATATTGCAAGAAAACGAAATCGTGTTGGAATCATAGATGCCAAGAAGTCTGTTGCATCGATAAAGAACATTTATGCCTGCAGGTCGTTTTTTCATACTTTTTTTCATTTTAAAAAAAACTATTTACTATTAAAAAACTATTTACTATTAAAAAACTATTTACTATAAAAACTATTTAAAACTATGATCTTAAATTTAATAACTATAAAATTTGCACTATAAAATTTAATGAGTTGCAAACTGTTTTGCAGATGTGCAATAAATTACTTAGTTGTGGTAATCACAACTGTGATCGTCTTTGCCATCGTGGAAAATGTCCAGTTTGTTTGGTAGCGAGTTAGTTTTTAATAATTTTCAAGTATTATTTGTCTTAAAGTTTGACCTTATCTTCTTTATTGTTATTTTTATTACTAGGTTTCGAAGAACAATACTGTTTGTGTGGAGCCACTTTTCGTGAGCCACCTGTTCCTTGTGGAGCTCCTCTTCCTTCTTGCGATCAGCTTTGTTCACGTGAACACGCTTGTGAGCATTCTCCAACCCATAAGTGCCACAGTGATCCTGAATGTCCACCATGTACAGTCTTAACACAAAAGCCGTGTTATGGAAATCATGAGGTATCCATATTAATTTTTTGAAAGACGTTTTTTTCTCTTATTCCTCTATTCCTATAATTTTAAAGGTGCGTTCAAATATCCCGTGCTATCTAAATGATGTTTCGTGTGGAAAGCCATGTGGTCTTGATGTGTCTTGTGGTATTCACAGATGTCCGCGTATTTGTCATCCTGGCTCTTGTTTAACGGGTAATGATGTTTGCAAGCAACCATGTCCAATACGTCGTATTGGTGGGGAAAGTTGTGACCATCCTTGCGCATTGCCGTGTCATGGATCAACTCCTTGCCCGCCAAGGTTTTATTATTTCCTCTCTCTTTTAAGTTTTTAATTGTTTATCGTCATATGGCTTGATCAATGGATTATTTGTTCTCCAGTATTTGTTTGGAGCTCATTCGCGTAACTTGTTTATGTCTACGAAAGTCAAGCGAAATGCGATGTGTTGATGTTGAAAAGGTTTATCGAAAAATGCTTGCACTTAAAATTGCCCAAAGTGAAGGTCAGCAACAAACAGAAATAAAAATTCTAAAACGATCATTAAGTGCAGATAAATACAAATGGTTCGTGTCAAGATATTCTTATTTTTTGTGAATCTTTCGAAAAATCTTTTGAGTTTTATTTTTATTTGATTTATGCTTTTTTTGCGCTTTAGGTTGCAGTTTTAGAAAAACTATTTATTTATTGTTTGAGTTTTGTCATAATTGATATTGCTATAGAAATAATATTACAAATAATATTGCAAAATTTCCTATGTATTTTTATATGTATCTGTGGTGAACATTTTAATTTTAATTCTTTATTATTCAAATATTCAGTTTTATTTACAGGAAATTTTTCAGCCTTCCATGCGATGCAGATTGTCAGCGTATCTTGCGCAATAAGCGCATTGCAAATGCACTTAATATTGCTATAGAAACTAACTCAACTGATATCGCACCGCCGATATACACTGATTTTCTTATAAGACAATTAACTTTAGCTCACAAACATGTTCTTCAAATAGAAAATGCCCTGATAAGTCTGGTGAATGAAGTTGATTTGGTTTGCGATTTCTATCTTAAATTTCAATGCTTACTCATCTGATAACAATGAAGAATTTCTCTAGCTTCGATTAATAATAATTGATTTAACATAAATTTATAAGGAATAATTCATATATTATTTTTGAAAAACTGTTGGCTAACGTCTTATCGATAGAATTTGGTTTCAGCTAGGTTTTATGTTTATTGCAGGAGCAATCATCAACTGTTCGTACGCACACTTTTCATCCAATGGTCTCAGAATTGCGTCGCATCATACATGAATATGCTAAGTATTTTCGTATTAAAACAGTTAGTCATGATGCTGAACCGCAAAGGAACGTAGTTGCAATTGCTAAGAGGTTAATTTATCAGAAATATATTTTATTTAACACTTATTTTACTTATTGAAAATAGTATTCTTTTATTTTTATTCTCTATAAAAAAATAATTTTTGGATAGTACTAGGCTAATTTTGATTGATTTTTCCAAAAATTTGATTTTCAAAATTCAATTGATCTATACCATTTCTCCTTCTATCAGCATTCGCTATTTTCTAACTGGCTATAAAGATATTTCTATGTTCTTGTTCGATCTTATGCCATCGACAATAATAAAGCCATTTCTTTTTTCCATCGTCTATCCACATATACCTATACCTTAAAAATCCAATTACAAAGTTTAGCAAGTAACAAATTATATGTGAACATCTGTGGTAGGCGGCAAATAATGTGTTTAACCAACAGAAACAACATTGTGTGATTCTATTGGTGTTATATTAACGTAGATGTTTGAACGAAGGAGAATAATTTTGTGAGATTTTGTCCGCTTGGTGAATCCGTAAAATGTCTTACATATCTTAGACTTTAGTAGTCAGAGGAAGATCTTCATTTCTTCGACTCTCTTTAACATATAACAAGATTGACCAATTTGCAATTATAAAGACAAACTTTCATTTTGGTGGTGATTTCGCCACTGCTGCATAAAGGTTTCTTCAAACGGAAAAACGCATTTACTATCATTATCCGTGATTTCATTTGTAATTTCATTTTTTGCCTGGCACTGGATCCAAGTTATTATAATCAGGCACTTTTTCAAGCGGTTATAAATCAATAGCAGATTTGTTTTATTTATATTTTTATACTGACTCTAACGATTCTCGCTGCAGTTGTGGACACGTTATTTGTTATTTGTATTTCATCATAACCATGAGCAAAAAACTTCATTCTCAGCGTATTTATATATTCTCTGATCTATCTATGATACTCAGATACTCAGATACTCAGATCTATGATACTATGTACTGGACCGATTTGCATACCTCTTGAATACCGAGAAGCGGTGTCCATTGTCCAGTCTATGTTTCGAAAGAAAATTTTGCGAGTTTCAATTCATTTAAACAAATTTTTATGCGAATTTGCGAATTTCTTTAATAGCATTTGCAAAGAGGAAATAAAAAATCGCATTTTCATTTTAACTTCTGATATTTCTTCTAAACATGGAAATTCTTATTTGCCTAAAGTTTTATTAAAATTTTAATGAGTCTAAAGCTTTGCTAAATTAAGACGATATAAGTGTATTATGGGCGAGTAGCTACAATATCGTCACGAGTCTCTACTTCGGACAGCAATAAATTTACCATTAAAATTCCGGCTTGTGCTTATAAAAATCCATTTGCGCTTTCTATTATCTTGATCCATTTCCAAAAATGGATCAAGATAATACCTCTTGAATCCAAAAATATCTTATTATACTGACAGCCAGTGGTATGTCTAGCCAGAAACGTGTTATAGAAAACATGGATAGATGAAACAAAAGGTATTGAAGCAGTTACAAATAAATTTTAAGGAATTTTAAACTAGAAATATCGACATTTTTTGCTACTTAATAAATTTTTAGATTTTAAAAGAAATTGTAAATGAAAAATTTTTTTTTATTTTCTTAGCTGCCATAATTTCGTCTTTCTCCCCTTCATTCGCTATTAGAGTGGATCCAGAATATTTATATTCGAGCTTTTCTTCAACCCAGTGAGTTCAGCAGTGAGTTTATAAAAAGAGGCATTTTATCAGCTTCCTGTATATAAAACGAAAAGAAGACTTTTGTTTTATTTAAATTTATATTGATTATGAACCCGATTTCGTTGCAGCTTTCAGCACGTTATTCAATATTATTATTTAGTATTATTTCGCCATAACTCTCAGCAGTAAGAAGTGCATTATTAGTATATTCAACTCTGGACTGATTTTCTCTTGAGTACAGACAAGCGATGTCCATTATCCAGTCTAGTTGAATATTGTAGAGGGAAAAGACCTTGACGGATATCAGTTCATATTTCAAAGGAGTCTGTAAATTCCCCATGCGCAGAGGCCTTTGTCTATTTGTACTAATAAAATGCCTTTATGAAATTGTAAATGAAAAATTTTTCTTGAAAAAAATGGAAAGAAACAGGAATTCCCAGAACAAATATTATTCATCAAAATCAATGATGATTTTTGAAGCAATTATTGTAAAAATCCAATGAGGCGAATTAGATATCGTTTTTATTATTTTATTG